CCACCTCCTCTATGGAGTCCAGTGGACAGTCCAGAACAGAGCTCGCTCTCCTGATAAGCTTGTTGAGCCTCTTCCTGTCCCTGTCCGTGTTGCCTCCACTCCAGCAGACCACAATGTAAAAGACAGCAGAATCTACCACAGAGTCATAAAAAAAAGAAGAGCCCTGCACACTCCAGAGGACCTCAGTTGTGAGAGATATATGCTTTCATCTGTAGTCAAATGAGCTACTGTTGAAAAACAATTTGGTTGTTTACAGCTGGACAAAGTTAATTTCACACAGAATTCTCATGATCACATAAATGATCCCAATGCTTTTAAATGTGATTATGAGGAGATTTCATCTGGTTAATGTGAGATTTTCCACAGTAGAATATCAAAGAGTGTTGACATTGCTTCAAGATTTACTAGCCTCTCATCATTACCATCACAAACTTTAATACACAGCATGCTTTGGGAAATTGTCTACATCATTCTCTATAAATCAGGTTTATAGGCCTGCAAATGTTGTCATTTTTAGGCTGATGATACCCAACTATATCTCCCTGTCTGTCCTGAAGTTGCCAGCAGCTTGAGATGATTAAATGTTCAAAGCATAATCTTTTTTTCCCCAGCTCAGTGAAGTGCCAGAACCTTATTTTACATTTTATGTTTTTAATTAATTGGGATTACTTATTAAAAATCTGTTTTCTCTTTGACATGAAAGATTTAGTTTTTGGAAAATTCTTGTCAAATGATGTTGAACATAATTCAGCAATAACAGGGAAAACTTACAGAGAGGGGAATACTGTATATACAAGCGTCACTGTTATGCCTGTAAGAAATGTAATTCTTTCAAATCCAAACTAAACCCTCTGTCAGGAATATGTTTAGATTGAAATTTTGACTTTGAAAATCAAGTGAAGGCAGGGTTTCCTCTTTTACCATCAGTTAAGGAAATTTCTAAAATCAAATCATTTCTGACTCATACTGACCTTCATAAAGTTTTGACCTGCCTCTGCTTTAATTATTTTCATGTGCAGCTCAAAGCGGCGGTACGGTTTCAAATGTGGATGCTTTTAACAATAAGAGAAGAGAACCTTGTGGTCCTATTTTTATCTCTCCATTAGCTTCCAGTTGCTCTTGGAACACAATTTAAGATGTTATTGTTTGGGTATAAAGCCTGAAATGGACTGACCCCAGCCTCTATTTTTGACCTGTTTTGCCAGCAACTACAACCTCAGTCCTCCCTACAACTGCTGTCTTTTCTTTGGTGCACCCACTGCATTGAATTGATTGTGCATTTTTTAGTTTCTTCTATTTGGGGCAAGGTTTTGTTGTCGAACTTTCTATTTGAGTGCTTCTGTGATACCTGAGCAACACAGGACTTATGTTGTTATTATACCAGATTAAATCCTTTCCTTGACTTGTATTATCTTGCTTTTCCTAAACAGCCTCTCAAATACAAAATACTTTTTTTCTGAGAAATATAATTCATTGTTTTCTTTTAAATGATTCCTTTTTTTTTTAAAGCATCTGTACTGATGTTTTTATAAGGCTAGATCAAACGTGAAAACAATGTGAAAGGGCTTGTTCATTCACCTACAGAGAATTATCACCTTAATCTGCAGTTTTCCTCAGTTCTACAAACCTTAGTGAGTTTCAGCTCGCTGTTCAGCTGTCCGACCCACAGCTTTACTGTTTTCATTGACTCTCACAGCTCTCATAAAGTTGTTTTGTTTTGTTTTTTCTTGCCACAATGGGCGTGTTTTGCTTTTTAGCATTTATAAAATGCCCTAAAAACCCACTGTACCTGTCAAGTATGTACTTAAATATCTTAATTATTAGCATTGAGTATCTGGTGAACATAGTAGTTGCTACAGAGCCAGATCTTTCTCTCTAAAACTGGTAGAGACCCAAACAGAGCTAAAAGAGATTGAATGTTGGATTTACATTAAACATGGTTCCAAACTCGGTAACTTCTGGATAGTTGCCAACTTTTGTATGTCACTGAGCACCATCTTGAGTGAATTTCCTCCTCTGTGTTTGTACAGCAATTTTTCAACTTGAGTTTCATTTCAAGGAAGAGGAAGAAGCCACAAAGGAGGCAAATCTGATAGTTGACAGTCTGACACTCTGGAGGAAGAATCATTGGTTTGAATTTCACTGTTCTTGGAAGCAATAGTCTCTCCCACATCAAATACTGATGTTTGGTCTCTGAGTCGCAACTGTAGATCCAACTTTTGTCACCAAGTATTGATCCTCTACGTCAGAGGTGTCCAATCCTGGTCCTCGAGGGCCACAATCCTGCATGTTTTAGATGTTTCCCTCTTCCAACACACCTGATTCAAATGATCAGGATTGTTATCAGGCTTCTGCAGAGCTTGATGATGAGCTGATCATTTGAATCAGGTGTGTTGGAAGAGGGAAACATCTAAAAAATGCAGGATTGTGGCCCTCGAGGACCAGGATTGGACACCCCTGCTCTCCGTGAAGCTGGGTCATCACGGGCCTCTTGACAGAGATCCTTGCAGACTTTGACATGGGGCTCCTGCTGGAGGTTCACAGTGAAATCGTAAACGCACACCTGCAAGTAGTCACAGAAACACATGTAAAACAGGTGCCAATGTTGTTCTCATGCAGAATCCTGATTCTGAAGAGTTGCTGCTTGTACCTGTTGCATATTCAAGACCATGCAGTGCTTCTTGTATTCTTGCTTTGCCTAAATAAACGGGTCTGAAACTTTGTTTCCTGACTTAAAAAGCCACAATACTTACCAAATACACAGTGAGATTCAATACTAATACTTGTATGTAGTTTTCAAGTCATGCTGTGATCTTTAACTAATCGTTATTGAAACTGTTGTAGAAACAGAAGTAATGGTGTTTATGGGATTAGCGTGTGCAAGGAGCAGGGAGATCATTATTGAGCGCCAATCAGTCCAGTAGAAGTACTTGAGTCCATTTGTGGGTGTGTCTGCAGCTCTGATTTGAATTAAGGGGCCACACTTACATGTATAAATAACAGACACACAATTTGCGCACAAGCTCGCTGTTAAACCATGTGACTGAGTTAGAAGGGCTCTCTCTCTCTCTCTCTCTCTCTCTCTATCTTTTTTTCTCTCCCTCCTCTCTCCCGCTCTGTCTGTAATCACCTATTCTTGGAGCTTTTTTCCAGTTGCCTCATCGGAAAACCATGCGGAGAGGGATGGCCGATCCGCAGTGATTGAACAGTTCTGCTCGCAATTTAACTCCATCTGATAGGGGTTAGCAAGGCCTCTCACACAGCGTTTCTCTGCGCTTGTGGATGGGTGTGTCCGTTCAAACGCAAAGGCAACATGAAAAATGTGGAAATACGCTGAAAACTTTGGTTTTCCTCATCACACACTGCTCTATTTATTTTATTGGAGATTGTCAGAGAAGTTTGCAGGACCTGTGACGTTGCATAAAACGGGCCAGACTGATAATTTTACACGTTGATTTTTAGCTTTGCACAAATATATTTATATTCTTGTGTCATAAATGACGAGAAATTGCAGTGAAAAATGTAATTTCACTCATTTCATTTAAAAGTAAGCGTGTTCATGATGCATAGTTTATTTGAGTTTCCTTTAAAATGTTCCTCTCAGTCCATGTTTTGGTCACAACAATCACTAAAAAATGTTTCTGTTGTATATTTGTCTAAAAATTAGCATTATTGGGGATTTTTTTAAACTCTGAAATATTAAAGTTCAAACATGGCTGCAGAATTAGAATCAGGATTCTCTCGGACAACTTTAGAGAAAAGAGTTTTTTCATTAATAACAGCCTCTGTAATATTATTTTGCCTGTGGCTTTGTGATGGTGTGGTGATGTGAGAAATAGCAATTTCTTTGTAGTTATTGTGTAGTTGATGTATTTTGTGGTGTTCTTGTAGTGGAGTAGAGACACATTGCTTTGTAAAGTATGTTTTGGAAAGTTTCACACACATTTTTGGTGCAATTCCAAGCAGTTTCCAGCCTGGTTGTTTGATTCTGACTTGTTTGTTGTGTGTTTTGTTGTACATCTGGAACTTTCGCCCTCCCCCAATTGGTTCCCTGTCCGTCTCTCTCAGAATTTTGGGCTTTGTTGTGTTTTTCATTTTCTGTCTGCACACAGATTCGTTACGTCGTCTAAAACACAGTCCTGTTGTTTCAAACACAGAGAAATGAATTGAAGTTGGGATTTCAAAATAGTTAGATGGACAGCAAAGTTTCAAACTTCATGAGACTTGGTTAAAACAATGAATTAAACTATATCAAACGTGAGACTTGATTTTTCTTGTATTTGTATATTTATTTTTAAAGACATGTCTGCATTGCTCTCTCTTGTGATCCTTTGTCTGTTTATATGTACAAGAACTGCACAGTAGCTAGATTTGTCCAAACTGTACAAAACTCAGTTTCCCTTTTTATATCTGGTCAAAAATCTGGTCTGCACCTGTCACTCTGAGCTTCACGGTCTGATTTCACGATAAATCTCTCTTTCAAAACAAGAAACTGAATTATCTTTTTTCCGTGTCTGCCTGCTGCGCTATGAGGCAGAAACACCATAAAAATAACCTCAGATGCAGCTGTGGAAAACTGCTCAGGGGTCAAGTTGCCCACGAGTTTTGGTTTAGGATCAATTTTCATGCCTGTTTCCAAACCTCAGTCACCGACGGGTAAACTGGAAAGTGACCCTGGTTGAGCCTCGGCTTCACCCTGGAGAGTGGAAACTGTCCTTCCTCAGGCCAAAGCAGGGGTTTGGATTGAAAATGTAAACGAGCCAGATTGAACTTTGTTAACCTTTTTCTGTCAAGAAAAAGATATTGATTTTTACCGCTGGGCGTAATACTACTGGAAGATGGAATCTAAAATTCACATCAGGTTTTACTACTAAGCTACTGAGCTTACTGCATGCTGATTTATGTTTTTTACTATATTAAATACTTGTAGCTCCATTCGTGGACATCAGAAATCTGTAAGATCTGATTCTTATACAACATTTTTTCGTCTCCTTTCTCAGGATTGAGATTGAGGACTCGGAGGCGGTGGGCATTTCCAATATCATCTCAAATCTGATCACCATGTTTCCGCGGAGTATTTTAACGGCGCTGCCCAGCGAACTCTTCACCTCCTTTATCAACTGCCTCACGCTGCTCACCTGCTCGTTTGGACGCAGCGCCGCCCTGGAGGAGGTGGTGAGTAACGACGCCTTCAACCACCTCTCACAACTTTCTCTGAATTGAGTCAAGAATTAATGGAGAATAAACCCAGAGGTACTTAAATCTAAATCCATTTAAATAGATCTTTACAAACCTAATAGGTTGCTGTAGTCATGTGTGGCTGCAGGTAACATTAAAGCAGCTGACCAGGTTTGCTTTCAGATTGCAAATAAAATTCTGAATTTCTAAATTAGAGTTTGTAGAAGTAATGTCAGCTTCCCACATGTGGTCACCAGTTGACTACACTTTTTGCAGTCTTCAAGTCTCATAGGCAGTGTGTCGCATCATATATAACGCCCGAAGAATAAAGAAAATATCCTGCACACTGTTGTTCACTTTTCCTCACTTTATTTACTGTTTTGAAGGTCTGCGTGCCTAAACGTAGTCACGGTATGTTCTGACTAACATCTGTAAGACTTTATGATGTGCAAGCACTTTGGGTTCCAAAGAAAAAAATATTATTTGGTTCTTTCTTCTTTATTTTTTTATTTTAGCAAATATTTGAGTCTTGAAGAAGTAAAGTTGCTCATTTAAAAGCATTGATTACCTCTGAAACGTTTGCAGAACCTGCTGAGTCTCGAGATCATTGCAGACGAAATAATTTGTGTGTGTTTCCATTGCTACATCAATGGTGGACGGAAATGAATGAATTAATGGCATTAGACAGTAATAATAATAATAATAATGACTTTTTTTGTATAGCACTTATCAAAAACAGCTTTACTATGTCATATACTACAAAAATGAACACAATAAAATACAGTATTTTAAAAAAAAAAAGGAATAAAAAAGAAACAGTTGAAGATTAAAAGAAAAAAAAACGGTATAAAATATAAAAACAATAGGTGAGTTTAAACCTAATATAAAGCACTGCAAGACTCAAATGCAACATCAAGAACAACATTCAGTGACAAAAATAATGAACATTTTACATTCGTAAGAAGTCATTCAGAAGTCTTCATGAATGAGGAACGTGCCAGAATTCCTCGTCCTTGCTAACAGCAGCTCGGTCCTCTTTTATCTTTAAGCTTGAGGTAGAATAGTAAATGAATATAATCCTAAAACAAATGTCTGTAGTTTGGGACTGGTGGTTAGGCTGTGTTGCATTATAAGGAGCATTTCTCACAGTTTTCCTGTGTTCTATAGACATAATTGATAGTTGCATCCCTCGATCAGGGGACATTTTGAGAAATTATTGCTGGTCCAACCGAATTTCATTTTCAGTTATTGTTTTCTTTTAGAGAAACAGCACACTAGAATGTGGCAGGTCTGCCGATGAAAATCACTAAACTAACGTCTGTTATTGTCTCAGCTGGATAAGGACGACATGGTTTACATGGAGGCCTACGACAAGCTGCTGGAGTCGTGGCTGACGCTCGTTCAGGACGAGGAGCATTTTCCTCGCGGCTGCTTCGTCCAGCCGGCGATCCAGGTCTTCAACTCGTACATCCAGTGTCACCTGGCTGCTCCTGACGGCACCCGCAACCTGGTGAGACTTCAGCATACATCCTCATCATCCTCTTCTCCCTGATGTAGTCCTTTTTTTCTTTTTGCACTTTCTTTTTGCAAATCATAAAACCCTGAACCTTTGCTTCCCTCCCGACCTCTCAGTCAGTGAACGGCATCTCGTCTCACGATGAGGAAGAGATCAACGAGCTGCAGGAAGACGACAGAGAGCTGTTCTCAGACCAGCTGTCCAGCATCGGCATGTTGGGGCGGGTGGCTGCCGACCACTGTATCCCCCTGCTCACAAGGTAAACTCATCAAATCTAACCAGATGCTTAGACCTCATTTCCACGTACCACTGTGCCGGAACTCCTTTCTTATGAGGGCCACCGTGATCTCAGTTGTATCTACGAAACCCCTTTTATATTTTTCTGGTTCAGGATTTGCCTCATGTGCGTTGAAAAATGTAGTGGTGCATGACGAGAGGCTGAACTGTATCGCCTTTTTTTTTTTTTTTAAAGCTAACAGACTATTCAGTTGTTTGACTATGTTGACAGTCAAATTGTCTTAATGTTTATTTGCAAAAGAAACTCATCAAGCTAGTTTTAAAAGTTTTTCACGTTCTCAAGTCAAATTTTGGACTGTAAAATAGCAGAAGGAGGAGTTTTGAAGACACATCGGAGAATGCTGAAGTTGTGAATGGATTTCCGTTGAGTTGTGTATGTGGGAACGAGGCACCGGTTTGTGCTTGTTGTATGTGGATTGTAGTTACAGAATTATTTAACCAATGAAAACAAATGGTTGAACTGTAACCGATGCATGCTGCAAAGCTATAAACAGTAACTCCAACTAATCAGTTTCATTTCAGTGTGTTTAAACTCTGGCAACATTTTAGATTTGCGGATTTGATTTGTAATTTTGAGACAAACTGTGTTTGTGTTTCCCATGTTGACGTCTCTCCTTTTGATTCCTGCTGCAGTCTGCTGGAGGATCGAGTGACGCGACTTCACGGCCAACTCCAGAGGACCCAGCAGCACCTCATGGCCTCGTCTGACCTCGGATCAGTGGACCGCAAAGTCCTGGACGACCTCTATGAGGACATCCACTGGCTCATACTGGTCTCAGGTGAGCAGCACGGCAGGAAAAAAGTGTCTTTTACTTTTTAAAAAGATGAAAAACAACTGAGCGTCTCCTGGTTGAACTCTTAGATTTAATGAAAAATGCTGCATTACCTCAGCGTGACCAGTTTCCCTACAAAGATTCTAAAGTTTCAGTTTCCACAAAGGCTTCGCAGGCTTTAACGACGAAGGCAAAGTTTACGAGAGGCCCAATGATGTTCTAATACAATAGAATATGGCTCTTTTATGGTGCTCACAAATGACTTTTCCAGTGCAGAATATTCCACTTTACTGACACTAGTTGTGAACAAAACTCCACCCAAGTCTGTGGGTTTGAGAAAATGAAATATTGTCTCCGTCTGCGTCATTTAAGCTGCGCAAAGTGTTATAGTGGATTTCTCACCATAAACTTACCATTTAGGCTGGGTAGACCACTCTTCCAAAAGGAGGCTGAATTTTGTTTTATTTATTTGTTGAAATGTTTGGCTTCTATGGTGGAGTTCAATAAAACACTACAACTGGTACATCCAAGTGTTAAAAGAAATAGCACCCTACCACTGAGAAAAGTTGGTTAGTTGTTGAGCTGCACCTGTTCTTGTGAAGGCAACAGTGTTTTCGTATTTGATTCTGATAGAAAGCTGGATTTTAGAGCTGCAACAAGTCACTGTTTTCATTATTGATTCATCTTTCTTCCTTTATTTTAGATTAACCCTTTCATTGTAATATATAAAATAAAAAACACATAGTGATGATAGTCATTCACATTCGTCTAGAACCTAAAAAAATATTCAATTTACTATCACATATCATGAGTAGAAAAAAATAAGAAGGTAGAAACTGAAAATTATGGGCATTTTTCTTTATAAACGATACTTTACTCTGATCATTGCAGATTATTTTCCTGTTAACTAACTTTAGCTCTGCTGTAGAACCTATCTACTCTATATTTTTGTGTCTAAAGTTGTAAAAAGTGAACACACTGCAACATGCCATCTGTATCTATGTATGCACTCTGCAGGGTATCTACTAGCAGACGATCCTCAGGGTGAAACCCCGCTGATCCCCTCAGAGGTGATGGAGTTCTCTATAAAACATTCGACAGAAGTGGACATCAACACGACGCTGCAGATCCTCGGCTCGCCGGGGGAAAAGGCCTCGTCCATACCGGGCTGCAACCGCACAGATTCTGTCATCAGGTATCGTTTCTGTTGTCTCAGAGGCTCATATCATGTTTTTTTGGTTACAGCTTACACAACCTTGACAGATGGATGTACACTTTGGAGTCCAGTGATTCACTAAATCTGTAAGATGGGCTGTGAAATGTTTTGTCTTCTGAGAGTCTGAACACTTTGGCTCTAGCTGTTGATAGAACAATATAATCAGAAGGTACATTCATCAGCTGATTTAGAGCTTTCAGTCATGTTATTCTTGGTAGATCTAGTCACTTGGTCGCTAGGGAGTTGTAGATGTATTAGTTTTCATTTTTTATGAGCGCCTAAATCTGTTGGAAAATTGTCACATTAACTGCTTTTTCCAAAGAATGAATCCTAAAGCTCAACTTCATTGGATCTGTTAAGCCAACCGAAACCCACAACCCAGTGGCAGGTTTGAAAGGCATGTTATCTTTAGAAAAATCAATACCTAATAACTGAAAGCCTTGTTGGAATTTAAATTAAATCCCACTAAATTAAATTACTTATCTATGATGGCAGTTTGTTAGGAAAATTATCCAAATCTGAGCTTAACATAGTGATGTTGTATTAAAATCATTTTATTATTTATTTTATTTAAAATAAACCCTTTGTTCTAAACTGATTCTGTAAAATAGAAACAATTCTACACAATAATTTTAGAATATTTAAAAACCCCACATTTGTTAAGATTTTATTCTTGCACTTTGCTTGCTGGGCTGCAAGGTGCGTCGCCTCGCAGCAAGGCAGCGAGGGTTTTCTCGGGGTTCTCCGGCTTCTCCGGGTTCTCCGGCTTCCTCCCACATGGTCCAAAAACATGTTGAGGTTAATTGCTGATTCTAAATTGTCCGTAGGTGTGAATGTGAGTGTGCTTGGTTGTCTGTCTCTAAGTGTGGCCCTGTGATAGACTGGTGACCTGTCCAGGGTGTCCCCTGCCTTCACCCTGAGTCAGCTGGGATAGACTCCAGCCCCCCACGACCCTAGTGAGGATTGAGTGGTGTATAGATGATGGATGGATGGACTTTGCTTGCTGTTAACCAACTTTTTAACAAATGTTATAAATGGAGAAACTAGTTTTTAGTTTTTATTTTCCAAAAAAAGCACTGGTTGCTTCTTCTCTGGACACCAGCTCTTTAATGAATTGTTTATTCCCTGTAGGGTTTGAGGTATTTGAATTGACTGAGACTACACTGCTTATGAGTAGTCAGGCCTGAGTCTTTCTGGCATTGAACGATAAGAATTGGACGGTAGACTGCTTGAGCCTCTAAACTAATTAAGGAAGTATGTGTTTGGAAGGTGAAAGAGTCTGAGCCTTACTTTCTGCATACAGTAGCTGCTTCTCCGTCAACAATACAAGACTGTCGCTGAACTGTGAAGGTCTCCGCTTTGAATTTATGTACTGGAAGGACTGTTTAGGCAACCATCTGTTCAAAAGATAATGCTGCACAGATCTGAAACGTCTTTTCGACACTTCATAATACCAATAAGTCAGGAACCCATCGAGCAGCAGCCATATAGATTGTCGTAATGGAATAGATGGCACTGCTCTGTGTCCGGCAGTCCTTTGTTGTGACACTTGGTCTCACTTAACCAGCCAGCAGCCTCCATAAAAAATCTCCCAGAATAGATTCCCTCGCTGTCCGGAGTTAGGTGGACTTTCAAGTGTTGTCACTGTTATTGTCTCATAAATCTAAAGGTGGGTTAGTCCCTTTGCATTCACACAGGAACACCTTCTTAATGTGCAGCCAGTAAAACAAAGTAACACTTGGTTTAAATAGTGCAGCTTGAAATGCATTAGACTCAAGATAATAAACTGTGAAGCTCAAACATATACACTCATGAACACATATGATAAAACACAGCATCATAAAACTGTCACGACTATTACACACATATAAACTGTTTAAAGATGAGACACAGAGACGACTCCTTCACTCTCCTGAACCTTATTCCCTCATAAGACAGTCTAACAAAAACGAATTTGGCCTTTCTCTCATGAAGATGTCAAACATTTCCAGGCAGGAAATAGTGATTATTTAAATATTTCTTCAGCATGTTAATCCGTTTGTATGATTTGGTGACCTACTGAGTGTATAAGATGTCAAAAAACAGTGGGAAACACTCCGCACAATTCTCCAAACTGACGTCTGTAAAATGCTTATTTTGTTTGACCAACAGTCCAGAATCAAAAGATATAAAATTTGCACTGACATAATGTGGAAAAGAGACAGAAAATATTCACATTTGGTTATTTTTTTACTCAGTAATTAAGAAACAGTTTTTAAAATTAGATTTGAATTAATTTTATGTTAAATTGTTTGACTCAAATATTGCTTAAATGTTCAGTTTAGAAACAGTTTCTCTCCTTTTGTAGACAGAATAATTGTTCTAATGATAAAAATAATCTTTATTGTTTGTCATGCCTGTATGCTCAAGTATATATAAATGATTTTCTGCTGCGCCACAGCTCAGGATGACTGTAATGTATCCGCAGGGCTGCTGAAAGAGTTGTTGATCAATAAAAATGACGAGGAGGCTGACATTTCTCACTTTTAAAACTTATATAAGAGCAGAAATGTCTGCTTTGCACTGTGATCGATTGTAAGTCACACAATCCTTGTGCGATTGTTGAACATTAGTACAAAATTACATCGCTTAAAATACACCAGCAGATAATTAAATAGACCGAAGCATGCAAAGTGTGTCTCTAGTTGCCGTTACCTGATAGGATTTATTTTTTGACAGCAGTTAGCTGTGCAGCCGTGGGCTGTTCGTGGCTGTTTGGCAGCAGCTCTGGATGCTCGTCTGTGTGAAGGCAGTCGTGTTTGTGTGAGTGAATAATCACAGCGACGACAATAGGCAGCCACAGCAGCCGGTGATATTGTCTGTTGAAGGTCATTGTGCTCCAGTGTTTTCTAGATTGTTCATTATGTAGAAGTGTGTGTGTGTGTGTGTGTGTGTGTGTCAGAGGGTTGACAGCCACGACAGAGGATTGCGGAGACGAGCGGCTGATGGCATCGGGTTTCCTAATAGCGGGCGGCCGACCCCGGCCCCGTAAATGTCAGCATGGTTTTGTTTTCTGCAAACAATGTGAAACTGTGCGCTGTCCTCGGCGGAGGGGGACGGACGCATAAGCTGCTTTAAGCCCTCTGTCTCTTTGTCCTTTACTATGCTGTGTGTGTGTGTGTGTTGGCAGACTTGACATTGTGAAGCTCACTTTCACCCACACACGATGACTGTCAACTAAGATTTGATCGTTTTCTTGTAGGTGTGCGCTGTATTTTCCCTGGTAGCAATAAATACAATAATACCATATTAAATACACCTGCATACATACAGTTGTCCTCAAATGTATTCATCCAGGCTTTCTTTGTGTTATCTGGTTCAACAAAATCTTAAATCCCAGTCAGAGACGGTCGCTGTCACAAGTTTTTTGTTAACCAGGTGTTTTTTTATTGGACTTTCTGCATGTTCAATTTGTTATAATGGAGAGCACTGATGAATATTATTGCAGTATAATGCATCACTACTGCACACAATGCTGGTTGAATGCTGGTTGAAAACTGTAAAGCATGTAAATTGTATGTTCATTTTGCTGCTCAGCAACTGTCCATGCCGCCACTTATTTCTAAGCTGCACATTGGAGCTCTAAAACTTTCAACTTTGTCCATTTTAAGGCGATACTCAGGAATTGTGTAATAAAGGAGATCACTTCAGTTTTTGGTCAAATCAAAGTAGAATGAATGTAATACTGGCAGTTTAAAACAGACTTAGTAGCAAATCAAGACCAAGCAGAAAAACATATTCATGCATTTTCTGCATCACCAAGTGACACGTAGGGCTCCATTGTTAGCAGATATAAGATATTTCCTCAGCTGAGAATCTGTCCAGAGAATCGCCAGGAAATGAACTGGTGAAAGGGAGACGCTTCTTCCAGCTGATTTAAAACGAAAACTTTGAACCAACTTTGAAGCAGGATTGCTCGGCAGCATTAGTTATCATGGTGATGTAGCAGAGTAATAGGGACATTTGTGACACTGAAACCCTGATTTCAGGCTCAACATGCCTACTAACACATGAGTTGCTTTGTAAAACAACCCTCTGAATTTACACTTTGCTTTTTCAACCAAATTTGTACGTTTGATGCACTTTGCTGAAGCTAGCTAGCCTCCTAGAGTTGTAAACGGATGCTAAAAATTTAGATTGATTGTTGAACCACAACCACCACCAAGTCCAGGCTTTATCTGTATTAATTCTTGAGTTGTTGTCATTCAAACGTAGTCTGAATATTCAGAGCGTGAAAAACATGCAGAAAGTGAGTCACCAGGCAGCTTTTTTTTCTTTTCTTTTTTTTTTTTCTTATCTTGCAAAGTGTTTCTACATACCAAGCTGAGAATTCATGAATTCCATTTTGAATATTTATAGTAATATTTATGATAGACAAGTTTGAGGCAAATCTAAATAAAAAGCTTCTTGTCATATCTGGACCATGGGCTGTTTCATCTGATCTCTCTCTTTGACTGAATTTCTCAATTTGCATTAATCTACGTTCTCTGTTTTTATCTAACCTTTCAGTTTCTCTCAGTCATCTCGTTCTTCTTTTTCCACATCTCTCCTGTGCATCAACTGTAAATCCACCTCCTCTCGTCTCTTCTATTTCAGGCTGCTGTCGGCGGTGTTAAGGACGTCGGAGGTCGAGTCCAGAGCAACCAGAGCGAGTCTAACGGAGCTGCTGAGTCCACAGATGGGGAAGGACATCGTCTGGTTCCTCAGACGATGGGCCAAGACTTATCTGCTGGTGGACGAAAAGCTCTATGAGCAGGTTTGAGGCTTTCAGCTCCATCATACTTCCATCCATCCATTATCTATACACCGCTTAATCCTCAATAGGGTCACGGGAGGGCAATTTAGAATCACCAATTAACCTCAACATGTTTTTGGACTGTGTGGGAGGAAGCCGGAGAACCCAGAGAGAACCCACGCTGCACAGGGAGAACATACAAACTCCACACAGAAAGATCCCGGGTGTCCTCACCGGCGACCTTCTTGTTGCGAGGCAACAGTGCTAACCACCGAGCCACCTTGCAGCCCTCCATCATACTTACAAATCTTTAATCACTGAGCATATTTCACATTGCAGTTTCCTTGTCTCAGGTATTTCCTTTCCATCGGTTTCATGTTCTTCTCTTCCCCTCCTCAGATCAGTATCCCCCTGAGCACAGCGTTCGGTGCCGACACAGAGGGAGCCCAGTGGATTGTGGGATATCTTCTGGAGAAGGTGATCAACAACTTGTCTGTGTGGAGCTCAGAGGCTGAATTGGCCAACGACACCGTGGAGCTGCTGGTGACGCTGGTAGAGAAGAGGGAGAGGTGAGAAAAGTGGTGCTTTTGTTCCAGCTCCTCCAATATGAATCCTTTCTGGTTTCCATAGTCTTCTATAAATCTAAGCTGAATGTATTTGGGTTAAAAAATGTGTAACCTGCAATACACTTTTTTAAAAAAACAAAAAAACATTGTCTGACATTATGTATGCTTCACATTTATTCAGAGACTGAGATTTCATTACTTTTATTGCATCGTATGGAACAATCTTCAAAAATGCTTGATTGTGCTTTTCCCACAATTCTAAACTGGTAGTACTTTTGTTTGATACTCAAATAAGCTAAACAATTTCATACACTGTAAATGTACTCCAGTAAATGATAGATTTGTTGCTGAGTGCTGCCACAAAAACAATAAACCCACCAAGTTTTCACAACAGCACAATGAAGGTGTTTTTTAGGATTTGTATGCAGTTTTTGGGGGGAGGTTTTTTGTTTGGGTTTTTGTTGTTGTTGTTGTTTTAAAGATTTTGATGCCTTATCCTGATTTGGATCATTCCAACTGTAATCATCGGTTTTTTAGAATGACCATCTCAGAATTGTCTGAAAATTTTTACCGTATAAAATTTGGCTGTTTGTAAAGACATTTGTGAAAATTCATGTTGACCCACTTTCACCAGGTTTTTTTCACACTTGAAAATTTGGGATTATGTTTGAATATCTCAGGACCTGTGAAAGATAAACTCCTGAAATTTTCACTGTTATTTCTCAGCATGTCATTGATTCAGAACATGCAATATTGGACAAGTACATCAAATTGTTTCTGATTATAAGTGAGCTCAAATGTGGGAAAAAAATGAAACCATGAAAAACAAAAGTCCCATCTTTAAGCACACATTGAAACAATAATTTTTTTAAAAATCAGGCTTTTATCTTTAAGTATTTGATATATCAAGCTAAACTTTAAGAAATCCCATTTTAAACATAGTTAACAATAGAAAAGTTTCTGGTAAATCAGAGATGGTTGAGCAGAAGTCCTCTGATGATCTGAGATGGGATAACGGTTACTTTTCTATGTAAAACATCCATAAGTACAGATATTTTTGCAGGGGTCTCGATGCTGGTCTTATGAGATCCCACCGAAGGACAGACTCTAACAGACACTGTGTCCGATCAGGGCGAACATCGTGGTCCAGTGTGAGAGCTGGTGGAACCTGGCGAAGCAGTTTGCCAGCCGCAGTCCTCCTCTTCACCTGCTGTCCAGCTCCGTGCAGAGATCTCTGATGAAGGCTCTGGTCCTGGGAGGCTTCGCACACATGGACTCAGACGCCAAACAGCAGTACTGGGCCGAGGTAACGTGAACATAGAGGTTTACCAAAATGAACAAGAGCTGAAATGAAAAAATGCCAAATGCTCTCTGTCTCTGACAGTTCAGATGTGAGAATGTGATGCTTTTCTGAGCTTGTATTGTTTTTTGAACATGATGTATTCAAGTTTTCACATTGTCGGTGAGACAAAAAGCTGAAAAATGTTGTCAAATGTGAGGTCTTTTCTAAACAAACGAAGAAAAATTAATACAAAAAGAATGTACAATATTCAGGCTGTTTTTTGTAGTTGTGTTTAAATGATTATTCTTTAGCAACTTGGGGCATATTTCTGTACTTTTGAATGGGCTGCTATGTTGGTACAAAGAAAAAAAAAGGACCTGGGAAGGCTGTCAGTTTGCTAAAATGAAATCCAGCAGGTTGTAAATGAATCTCCAGGTTTATCAGACTTATTTGGAAGATAAAATATACTTCACAGTTTACAGATTCAAATTCAAACTACAGCACTCATAGTACAAGTAGTTGTGAGCACAGTTTCCCTGAGATTATTAACAACATTTCAGGTGCAGTCACTTGCAGTTGTTCTTCCAAATATATCAGAATCAGACCTACTCTATTGATCCCTGCACGATTGTGGTTTCTCTCATTCATAGTCTTAGAAATCTAAGCAGGAGAAAAATAAACAGGAGTAGAAAATATGTCCTAAAAATGTAAACGTACGTAGAAAATTAATCAAGCATAAAATGTAAAAATGTGTTGTAATTATTGTACAGAAAAGCTGTTAATGTGGTTTCAGTTTGTTTACCATCCGTCTCATCATTTCACTGCTTCTTGTCTTACACCTTTCTGTAGCAAAGTCGCTGTTTCCCCACGTCTTGGCTGTTACAAGTACAATGTTGTTATAACAGGTGGAGATGACGACCAAAGCTGTGAAAACTAAACCCAAACTGTTTGAGGCGGAACATCCAGCAGCAGTGAGCTGCTTTAAAAAAAAAAAAATACTCAAAAACCAGTTAGTCCAGATCCTGAGAAACAAAGCTCCACAGACTCCAGTCAGATACAGGATTAGCAGTGATGGATGCAGTCGATAAATGTCTCCCACTGAGTCTTTCTCCCGGGTGTATAACCTGATCCTCATCCTGATCCTGGAGGTCTGAGTCTTAATAGGCTGACAGTAGTAAACGGGGGTGCAAAGCCACAGTGACTCCAGAGTAATTACGGAGGGTGTACGAGTGAGACGGCAGCTGTCGGTCCGTACAGCTGTTCTGTCTGAACTTGGACGCCTCCGTGTGAGAAGGAAGAAGAGCGAGACAACTGATCAAACACTCCTTTGTTTCATCTGCTCTTCACCGCCGTGCGCCAAGAAATCACTTTGATCCCGTTTACTCTTGTAACTCACATTTCATCTGATATATTACCCTTAATAGCCCAGTTAACCTTCTGAACCCCCAAAACCCGCCGGCGGGTTTGAAAGGCTTGTTGTCTTTACAAAATCGCCAAAATGACACCATTCATCAGAGCTAGAAGCTTTGAAAAAACAGATGCATTTGTTGGATTTTGAACTTGGAGGTGGTCTAGAAACTTAGCCAGATCAACGCTTTAAATTTTGATATCTTTTTTATTCTTTAAGTCCAGTTTAAAAGTTCACCCCCCCACAAAAACATTTGCTGCAACCAGATTCAGTAAAAAACAAAAAATTCTGCGCTCTTTGGCGTAACTGAGAAGCCATTAGTGACTCAGCTGCTACCAACAGTCATGTCACAAAAATTCGGGGACTTCTGGGCTGAACTGCAGGCTGTGTTTACACAGAGCACATAAGAGAAAAGTATGGAAGCTATTTTAAACATGTGCATAGTTAAATATTTAAAGTATGTAGAGCCCCCATTTTTTTAGCATTGCTAACACTTGTTGGCGCTTTGAAAAATATTGCACATGTTGAGTTCATTTTATTTTTTTTAATTTTTAGAAATGAAATAATCAAAGAAATTCATTTTTTGTTTTTCTCTAATTTATGATTTATGGCATTAGAATTGTGTCACACAGCACAGAAGACATTTCTGAGTTCTCTTTACTTGAACCCACAGTGAGAAAAAACATGACAGAAGTGAAAAATAAGAAACCTGCTCTTTCACTGCAGGTCTGCCCATAGGCTGCTGCTGATTTGTTTTATTTTTTATTTTTTTACATTAGGTATCACTTTAATATCATGCTTGTTTTTCCGGGGGCTTGTCTTTTCTTTTTCTCTGTTTTATTGTGTCTTTATTCTTACTTGTCTTGCAGTTATTGTGTTTCTGTCCTATGGGTTGCTATTTATAGTTTTACAGCACTTTGGTTTAGCTCCTGTTGCTATAAATGCACTTTATAAATGGGGCTCCCCTATAGCATCTAATGGGGTACAGATCTGTTTCAAAGAGGACTCATGAAAGCGTCAATGAAACTAATTGCCACATGTGACCGTACAGCACATATAGCAGGTTTAAAATAGCCTGACTTTGCTGCCTGGGTTTGTGTGGCTCTAACTCAGTTTTTCTTGGTCCAGGTGCTTCATCCTCTACAGCAGCGTTTCCTGAACCTCATCAACCAGGAGAACTTTGCTCAGATCAGCCAAGAAGAAGCTGTCAAACAGGAAATCGTCGCTACATTGGAGGCGCTGTGTGGCATCGCAGAGGCAACGCAGATCGACAACGTGGCCTCACTCTTCTCCTTCCTCATGGACTTCTTGTCCAGCTGCATCGGCCTCATGGAGGTAAGCGTGACCTGGAGGGAGAAGCCTGTATGTTGACTTAATGAATGGCATTGACCTGACAAACAAGCCAAAAACAGTTGCTGTACAGCTCAAATGAATGACATATGTTTGTGATAAAATAGTCCTGAAATGAAATGAAAACGGAATCTGATCAATGACTTGTTTTTGTCGCCCAGGTTTACAGCAACACACCAGAGACAATCAACCTCATCATCGAGGTTTTTGTGGAAGTGGCTCACAAGCAGATCTGCTACCTGGGAGAGGTAAATGTTCATAGTGAAGACTAAATACTATAAACTTACTACATCTGTACATTCAGACATGTTAAAAAAAACAACAACAACAATCCCAGACCATCAAGATGCCAATTTGCATGCAACTAATATCATCACAGGACGTCTGTGTTTGGCAGAAATTGCACTGTGGTCATTTGTGGGGGAATTTTTACTTTTATAAATTACAGAAGTAGCCATTTAGCATGGGGTTGAGATCACAGATGATCCTCCATTACGAATTATTTCAGCCTCTAAGGTCATATTAGTGTCACATAAATGGGCTTAAGATTAACGTTTATGAAAAACTACATTGATTTGGATGCTTAACTTGCACCTCTGACCTTACATCTGGTTGGTTTTACTTTGTTTTGATTTAAGGACTCAGCACATCAGTTAGAGATAAAGCCACAATTTTCCTAAAGTGGTTCATTATTTATAAGAAAAAATAATTTGATGGGGGGAGACAAATTTTACAGGATGTCAACTTTATAGGTCAAAACCAGATACATCCTCTCTGGAATGGCTGTAAAATAGTGTGTAAAAATGACAAATAATAACACAAAAAAAGACAGATTGAATGTGAACTTTTTCCACTTTCCTTCATCAGGATCTGTTCAGTCGTGATTATTATCATGACTCTAGAAACAGTTGTACCTCTTCTATGGCAGTCTGTAGTGTGCTAAAATAAGATTAATTGTGTTCGTTAAGTAGCCTGTGGACACGAATTTTGAATTACAATAATCAGGCAGCAAGGGTCTAATGAAAAGTTTATACCACAATGTGTTATGGGTAATGTAGGATCCAGTGACTGTAGGCTCAGGATCTTTCCCTTTCCTGCCTCGATGTTGTCAGTCATGATGTTGATTTTGTCTCATTCTATATAACAAACTGTAGATGTTTGATATTTTTACGTTGTTTAAGCACAGACTTATCAATCTAAAGTCACAAAAAATTTTAACTGCTGTTCTCCTGGTTCAGACGAAGTCCATGAAGCTGTACGAGGCGTGTTTAACGCTGCTGCAGGTTTACTCCAAAAACAACCAGAGCAGGAAGCGAAACGACGCCACGGCGGAGGAGGATCAGTACCAGGACCTGCTGCTCATCATGGAGCTGCTCACAAACCTGCTCTCCAAAGAGTTCATCGACTTCAGCGACACCGGTGAGCCGTCCTCAAGGTTTCTGTTTTTAAAATCTACGGAGATACTTGAAACTGATCTTGATCGAACTGCTGTTTCTTCTAGACGAGGTGTTTCGGAACCAGGACCAGGGAACGCCGGCATCCAATCGGACAGTATCAGCAGCAGATGTTGTCCTCTATGGTGTCAATATTGTTCTTCCACTCATGTCTCAGGACCTGCTCAAGGTAAAGCAACACAGGATGGATGTTTGTAGTATTCTGTCCACGTGTAAGGTTTGTTAATCTACATCCGTGCCAGCGACGTGTATTTAACCTCATGCTGATCGTGTCATTTTCCAGTTCCCGTCTCTGTGTAATCAGTACTACAAGCTCATCACCTTCATCTGCGAGATCTTTCCAGAAAAGATCCCACAGCTGCCTGAAGACCTTTTCAAGAGCCTCATGTTCTCCCTGGAACTGGGAATGACTTCGTATCCTTGATTTTTGAGAGCAGATTTCACTTCTTAGCTGCTTCATCTTTAAATTGTCTGTTTATTTAGCCTCAGTAGTGAGAACACTAAAAGTTGGCATCAAATGTTTTGCACTCTGAGTAGTCATTTCCAGATTTAAATCATAAGTTTATTCAGGAAACGATATTTCATTGCATCTTGCTTTGTCAAAATCTTACATTTAGCTAAAAATGTTTTGGTGTCGATAGAACTGATTTCTATTAATGTCTCAAAACTCAAAATGAGGCTGCAGCAGAGATTGTTTCACTGCTGTTGATTTATTTTTAATTTATTAATCATCAATGACTGAGAAGTGTTGAAGGTGTCCGATCTGTACTGTTGTGCAGCTTTAAAACCCTCTGAACCCCAAACCACACCAAGAAGGTTGAAAGGCAAGTTATCTCAAAAAAAATATCAGAGCAAGGAGAAAAAAACTAACAAAAAACTGACATAATTGTTGCATTTTTAACTTTCTGAAAATCCTTAAAGTTATTATTTATGATGTGCCGTTAGGTCGGAAAATACAACCAATTTGCAACGTTACATCGAAATCACTTTATTTTACATGTCTCATTTAAAAAGTCACTAAAAATAAACAGTTTGCAGTAAAAACAAGAAGATTTGACACACCCTGACACAACAGGGACCCGAACTAGGCTGAACTGCAGGCCATGTTTACACGGAGCAGACAGGAGACAACTATGGAACGATTTTAAAAATGTAGATCGTAGAATATCTACAGTATGTCGAGTCACCACTTTTCCATCTTCATCTGTAGTTTGCCTGTTGACAAGAAGAAAGATGTACCCGTCGTGTAGTTTCTGCTCCTTAACACCTTGTTTTCAGGATGAGTTCAGAAATCAGTCAGCTGTGTTTGGAGGCTTTGTCTCCTCTGGCTGAACAGTGCGCTAAAAACCAGAAGGATTCACCGCTGTTCATCGCCACCCGGCACTTCCTCAAGGTACGACACACACAAACAGAACACGATGCAAAAATAGTACTGAGCAGCTGATTCAAGATGCTTGTGAGAAATCAATAAATGGAAACGCCAGCAGATAAGCAGGAGATTTCATCAAATAGCAGAAATAATGATCTGCTAATATCTTAGAGGAATAGTTAGACATTTTGTTAAATATATTTATTCTCACATAACTCTTCTTAAAACTGCAAAGTGCCACTTCTTTGTATTTTATGCAAATTAAGCTGAGAAAAATGAGATGTATGACATGTTAGTTCCTGAGTTGGAAACAAACTGTGTCCAGCTGCAGCTTTGTGTTTAACATACAGACGTTAGAGTCGTGTCTCATCGAACTCTGCAACAGGTAGCCAGTTTATTTGCCACAATGTCAACCTTCTCCTTTAAGAAGGTGTTTTCAGAAAGCTTACATGGAAACAACTGCTGAAAAGTTAGATGTGGCAAAACTACTGCAGTGTTTTAATAATTTTTCTTTTTTCATGCTGTCATTTGTGTCTTCAGTTGGTGTTTGACATGCTGGTCCTGCAAAAACACAACACAGAGATGACAGTGGCAGCAGGAGAAGCCCTTTACACACTCGTGTGCCTGCACCAGGTGAGTACATAACACTCACCAGCATATGCTGGTATCATCGCCAACAAATGTATAGGAAAAAAATAGAGTTAATGATCAGACTCTTAACTTTCCAACAGTCCTTAAAGTAAGGAACCGTGACCAAATCTAAGCTTTAAATCCAGATATTTCATCAAAATCACTTTATTTTACATATTGTTTTTATATTATTATTATTATTTTCAAATTCTAACTGTGCCATACTACACAGAAGACATTTCAGAGTTCTCTACTTCTTTGTGGTTGTGATGTTTCCATAGAGGTGCAGGACTTTATAAAAAGTGACATGAAGTGCAAGCAGCTGTCTCATTTATACGTTATTCTTTTGATCAAATGTAGAAACACTTCATGCAACATAAATCGTGCAGTTTGTAGTAAATTCTCACTTAGAAACAATTTTTTAAATCCACAAATGTTAATGAACTAAACATAACATAACAAAAGTCTTACTGACAGATGCTGCTTCAATATTTTAAAGCGATATCTGTTCATACAGTCAAACCTCTGACTGAGGTCTGAGCTGCTCCAAACACAACAGGAAGTTTTTGGTAAACAACACTAGACGCCCCCTAGTGGTCCGTCTGCATAAACACATGTTGTTTTTTTTGTTCTTTTTTTAAAGCCAAATAACTGCAAATAATTGTCCTTTTTTGAACCAGATCATGTTTGTCCTTAAGAACTGAGTTCATAGTTAAGGTGTTTTCTCTTCATGGCTTTTAATTATACTAATGAAGATTTTTTATCTTTTGTAGTGAAAATTTTAAGTGATATATCAATACTAATAAACTAAAGGTAACTGAATACAGTTTACTTAGTTTGCTGATACGTATTAGCAGTAATATTTAAAGGGAAAATGAACAAATCAATCAAATAATAATATTCACTTAAAGTAAATACAAAGACTAAAATTTAAAAAACTACAAAGACTTAAAAAAAAATTATTATCATTATTATTATTTCTAACTGGTAATGATATTTTGGCTAAAATGTATAGCGTTATGTAATTCCATATAAAAACTAATATAAACTTTAGACCTGAAATGATTCCTAATAGGAACTTTAATTGTTCCTGTTGTCATTGTTCAAGTGATTTTTACAAGAACAGTTAATAAACTAAATATTTTTGGGTTGTCAAACTGCTCTTTTTGAAACAAAAGCAGTTTGATGGCATAACTTGGGAGTTGTAGGAAATATTGACGGGTGTTTTTTTAATATTTTCTGACATTTAATGCATCAAACAAGTTAATAATAATAACTTCAACTACAGTCATTTTAGTACTTTGGCTGATATAACCTTATATATGAAGAAACTGTTGTAGGCTTGTAGTTCTTGTAAATAAAACAAAAGCTGAAAGTGTCACAGTCTTGAAAGTTTGTCTTGTTTCCAATGTTTTACATTATGTTGGAGAAACAGAGAGTATTCTTCCACGTATCACTATCACAACTTTATAAAATCCCAAATATTGAGGCTGTAATTTCCATAAAAGAAGCAGTGAACAGGATGTTTTACAGCAGAAAAAAATACTCGTCAGTGTTCTCATCAGCCATTTCTATTTAACTTAAGGGTTGACTGATGTTGGGGTAACAATAGATTCAATATAAAAAAAACTAGACTGATGAAGTTTGTAGTTAAAATTTGGAATACTATGCTCTAACCGAAAACTGTGTTGAAATATCTTTAAAAGTTTATTCATATTTATTAAAATAAACATTTTCAACATTTGTCCTTCAATGTTGATTGGCTGTTGCTCGTCTTTAACTTTATTTACTTTATTATGAATCAGTGAAAACACAAAAACAATTGATACTGATAATCAAAAAAATGCTGATAGCTGACCGACCCTTTGTTTGACGCTGTGTTTCTCTCCTGGGTCAGGCGGAGTACTCGGAGCTGGTGGAGACTCTTCTGTCCTCCCAGAGAGACGCCGTCATCTACCAGCGGCTGGCCGACGCCTTCAACAAGCTGACGGCGAGCAGCACGCCGCCCACCATGGACCGCAAGCAGAAGGTCGCCTTCCTCAAAAGCCTGGAGGAGTTTGTGGCCAACGTTGGCGGCCTGCTCTGCGTGAAATAACCACTGGAGAAAAAACCCCAACCCGGCCTCGAATCATCGCGCTGAAAAGCAACCAGTCAAAGACGCCTCCCTCCTCCTCCTCGCCGCTTTGACCCTGGGAGCTGACGGGCAGAAGAGACGACGCCTTGGAGGAACTCTCTGCCCGCCTGGGATCATCTCACCTGAATGTTTACCTGAATGTTTGTTCTCCTCCCCGCCCACTACACCGAACGCTCCGCCCCCCTCCACCATAATTGACACTATTGATGATGATGATGATGATAATGTGGTGGTAACCATGGAGACTGAACTGCTAAGCAGACAGACTCAGTCGGAGGTTTCTGCCCTGTTGGACTGAAGCGCCACAGCGCCATGACAACGAGAGGCGGAGCAGCTGACGATGGTGTTGTGCTCCTTCCTCTTCTTCCCTGCTCTTCATCATGTGCCTGGAGGCTTCTGGAGCGCACTCACACACACTCACACACACACAAACACACGGCAACACACAAACATACGCCAACACACAAAGCGACACTGAGGTTGAAGCAAGTCGCTGTTATTTCGCTTTTTGATGTTGTTTAAAGGTGTTAGCAGAGTCATTTTGTTTTAAGAATGCCACAGCGACCAGCTCACCCCTAGTGTGTGTGTGCATACACACACAGACGCACACACACACACGCGCGCCGCCCTAAACCTTCCCAGAGTGCCTTTGTTTTGTTGATTGTTGTGTGTGTGTTTGTGTGTGAATCACGTCATGCATCAACTGACAACAAATGACAACTGTGCCTGCAATTTGCCAAGAATACAGCACATACACGCACACACACACACACACACACACACAGACACACTCGTACGTGCGCGACACGTTGCCATGACGACAGAGGTTTGGCCGGCCCGGCTGTCTTTGAGGTTGCTGAAACTCGCAGCAGCACAGGAGGGCGTTTGTTCCTTGGCGATGACCGTAAAACCAAAATCTGACTAAGGGTGTATATATATATATAAATATATATATAAATATAAATATATAATGTTTTCAATCCTACAGAAATGTACGTTCAAAGAAGAAGAAGAAGACAAAAATGGACTGAAATGTTTTTATATGCCAGTCGACGGCGGGCAGAGTTCAGCTGAAGAGGGAGCAACTTTCTCGGTGTTGATCTTTTTGAAGTTTGAATTGTTTTATTTTCTATTTGGATTGTAGTTTTTTGTTGCAGCCCTCTTCCTCCTCCTCCTCCTCCTCCTGCCACTCTGAAGTTTTGCAGGTTTATTTCCGTAGTATTTTTCTACAGCAGCACATCCACGGTATCACTCTTCAACACACACTGGATCAAGCAGCAGAGACTGAAGGACAGCAATAAGAAACCAAATAAAAAGGAGCAGAGCCACTCAATGAAGCATTATGTTCGGTGCACTACCCCCCTTCTTGTAGAGGCTGTTTTGTTAATGAAGTGTAAAAGTGTACATAAACTTATTGTATAAAATGTTCCGGCCTCTGCAGTTTCCTTTACATGTGCCGTGTCTGTTGTAATGTCTTTTATCTACTTTGGTAAATAAAGTGACTGATCTTGGATTTGATCACACAGTCTTTAGCCTCTCAGATGTGTTGACAGCAAACAGGGTTCATCAGTGTTCTGTCATTTTTATGTGCAACTTTACAGGTTTTATTCTCGTTAATGCTCTCGATTCTAATAGATCCTTCTATCTTCAGACAATCTCAATTAGAGCTGAAACAATTAATTATCTTATAAATTAATTGTTAAATACGTTGATATGTGATTAATCATTTTTAGGTATGGTTTTAGGAAAAAAGTTTAAATTCTCTGATTCCAGCATCTTGAACATGTGTACTTGCTGATGTCTTTTCTGACGGTAAACTGAATGTCTTTGACAAAATATTTGTCATTTTAGGCTTTTGGGAAACACTAATTGTTATTTTTTTACAATTTTTCTTCGACATTTTATCGACCAAACAACTAATTGATTATTCAAGAAAATTATCCACAGATCAATCAACAATGAAAATAATGTTCATCGCTATCAGAGGTATTTACTCCTGTAACTGGTTTGCAGTTGTTTTCACACCTGCTGTGACTTTTTGCTAAAAGACAGACTGTCTGGAATAATTTCTCAATATGTGAGTTATAAGTGATGAGACATAGTTAATGAAGGGTTTATAAGCCGTAGTAATTGTATTAATAGTTAATGCATCAGTTATAAGCTATTAATTTGGAGAAACTTTTGTGTTTCCAGATTACAGAAATAACTCCTCCTCTGTCTTTGTGGGAGAACTTTTACCTTTCTGACCACTTGTTTTATGCAAAACTGCTGCAGAACATGTGGACAAAAATCCATTGATTTAATTACTTATTAGCATTTGGAGGAATTTGAACTTTACCGACGTGTGATTAGGAATGAATGAAAATGAATTAAAGTCATACAAGCGTTTCTACCTCCAAACCTGATGAATTATTAGCGTTTAAAACCACAGTTAATAATGGTGGTACAGCCAGAACATTTAATTTGAACAGGACACACTGGGTCCTTTTCAAATAGTAGAAAACTCTTAATGAGTTGTTCAAAGTCTGCTGTTGTAAATATAATTTAATCTATAAATGAGTCCACTGGAGAGGCTCCTGCTAATAAATCAGAGCAACAAGGACAGTGTCTTTCTGGAGACAGATTTTCACACAACCTGGCAACCATGAAGTTACTCAGATAAATGATCTGATATCAATCTATAATCTGATTCACCAGCTGTTTTGATAACAGATTAATCGGTTTAAGTCATTTCTTGTGGGGAAAAAAACAGCTTCCTCAACTTTTCTAGTTTCTTTCCTCTCAGCCACAAAATAATAGAAAACTTGAGCGATTTTAAGGTTTTGGTTCTTAAACACTGAACTCATTCTGGATCCTCAGAGTTCAGCATCTTAACTACAACTTGTATTTATAACAAAATAGTTTATAAAATAGTGCAAAAATACTTATTATCAAATTTTATTTTATTTTACCTCCAGCTGCTCTTGTTTTAGATGAGCCATGTGTTTCTTTATTCTTAGGTGTTTCAGTCATTTATTAACTTTGCATTTTAATAACCTTTAGTTTTTATGTATGAGCCTGTGTCTTTTCATTTTCTTACTCAGCTACAATATAATGTAGGCCTCAGTGTAGTCTGAGTTCAGTTAGAAATTAATGAATTAATTTTCACTTCCACAGACCAAAGAGAAATCTTCTGCTCACGTCTGTTTGGATTGACACAGAGTTTAAATATCCTCATGTTTGGGAGGTTAAAAACTACAACAACTTAAATATGTGCTTAAAAAAAGAATTAAAAAAGTTATTTTATGATCATGAAAGTTTCTAATAGCATATCTTTTCTCGTGTGGTTGATTAATCGACTGAAGTCTCCCTTCACGTTTCTGCCCAGCTGCTGTTTTGTCCCTCTGCAGGAGCCGTACGCTCGTCCTGACGTCATCATCCTGCGACTCCTCACATGTTCACAACAGAGCAGCTGTGAGGTGATTTAGTGACTGGAAGCAGATTCTAACCAGGTTTGCTCACTTTTCTTCAATATTTTAACACGTTTGGTCTTTTTATGTGCGATACTTGACTTGAATTAGATTCACGGCTTCGTCTGCAGCTCACATTTGTGTTTGTGTCGCTTTGTGCGAGTTTGTTTCTGGTCATTCGTTTATCATTCAGTTATTGAGGGACTTGACCCTGCTGGAGTTAAAACACTCATTTCGTTAGTTGCCGGGTTGTAGATTTTAGGTCAGTTAGTCTTCTTTAGTTCGTTAAATATAAACTTTGATGAAGACAGATAAGTTTTATTAAGATGTTCACGAAGACACTCACATTGTGTGATTGTGTTCCTTAACAAACTTCTGTTGATCAAATAGTCATTTCTTTTGTGACTCATTCAACATTTGCAGCCATTTAGAAGTACCCGAGGACTCCTAGACAGTGGATTATAAGAAGATTTCTTAAAGTCTGGAACAGTTGATTAATTTGTGACTTTTATATGTTGATAAAAGCTGATTAAATAATTGAAACTAAAATTACAAACGTTAATAAAACCCTTGGGTCAAGTGTCCTTGTTCTGGACCTCCATCTGCACAGCTAGACTAGAGCTGAAACAATTAATAAGCTGATTAGTTGGTTGTTAGCAAACAAATGAATCGCCAACTATTTTGGTAATTGATAAATCTGTTTAAGAACAATTTTGGGGGAAAAAATGATTCTGATTCTAGCTTCTAAGATGTGAATATGTCTGTCTGGTTTCTTTCCTTCTTCTTGACAGTAAACAGATTTTTCTTAGGTTGTGGACAAAACAAGACATTTGTCATTTTGAACTTTCAGGAAATGTTGATCAACATTCTTCACTATCTTCTGATGTTTTACAGACCAGACAAGTGATTGATTGATCTAGAAATTAATAAGCACTTTAACTGACAATAAAAGTAAAAGTTGTTCAGCAGTTTGTTTCTTTAAACTAAATGTTTTCTCTGCAGTATTTCAGAGTCTGTGCAGGAGCTTCAACTAAATCCACAACTAAACCTGATTCATGCACACTTTAGTCAAATGAACAAAAACATTCTTTACTTCTGTATAAACCCACTTATAAATACATTTTCTACCGTCTATACTTTTTTAATGACAATAGTTTAGTTTTTCCTGCAGAGAGCAGGTTTACAAATAACAAAAACATTGTTTAGATCATACAAATGATGAAAAAAACATCTGTGCAGTGGCTTTAATTATAAAACACAAAGCTTTGACAGGCTTCACATGTAAAACAAATGTGTCTACAGTCTGTGTTGGTCTGTAGTGAGATAAGATTCATCATGTGATCAACTTACCTGCTGTCTTAAATAAAACCGTTGACATGCACATAATCCTACTTCCTTTTCTGTCACTTTCAGGTTTTCAGCTGCAGCAGAAACTCGTCTCTTCAGCTGCAGCAGAAACTCGTCTCTTCTTGGTCCCTCTGTCAGCAGCGATGAGCGACAGCGACGACGACGTTCCCACGCTGTCGGCTCACACTCTGGCCGCCCTGCAGGAGTTTTACAGCGAGACCAGAGGCGGACCGGATCCCAGCACCTCACCATCAGACCAGTTCACTGTGGGAGCTGTGGAGGAGGACTGGGTGAGTTTACGGGATTTAGGGAGAGGAGAGGGACCAGAAGAGGACACTTTAAAACTCTGTGGATGTTTGGAAACTGTCCACTTTATCAGCAGTTTAGATTTAATTTGGCTTGTTGCAGATCTATTTATCAAAACGATAATTTGAAGTTATGTGGGATAACAAGTGACGCAAGCATAAATAAATAAATGCAAAAATAAATACTCGATTACATTTTTTTTGTAAAGAAAAGAACACAATTAATGTCTTAAAATGTTTTTCTACAAGTCCGTACATCTACTTATTATTTAAGATCTCTAAATGTCTAAAGTCACTGTTTCTGTATTTATTTATATTTGAGTGCAGTGGCTGTTTATTAATGATCTAGTTCCAATCTAGTTTTTAATTAATGTAATGACTAATTTATCAAGTATTTCCAAGTGTATTTTTTCTTATTTGATTAACAGTTTAGATAAAATAAATATCCCAAAATTTGTCTAATATCTAAATATATTATCTAATATCTGTCATCTGGCAAACTATTTAGTTTAATTATTGTTCTTTTTACATTTAACAAATCGATCACTGATGGACTGAAGAGTAACGTGAATAATTAATTATTAGTTGTGTGGAGCCTTAAGAATATACAAGGTTATTATTTATGTGTAAATGATTTTTGGTAGAACCACAGACATTCAGTAGATCACTTTATTTACTAAATTAACCTCAAAACTAATTGTGCATCAACAGAAAATGAATGGCCAATAATTCTTGTAGGTGAATCATTAGTTTTGCTGTTTTTCTTGTTCATTGTGCAGAAACATGTGTCGCTTTTCTCAGTTTAATATCATTAGAAACAAAATATCTGTGGGCATGTTTAGACAAAACAAGATCAACAAATTAATCAATTAAAAATATAAAACTAAATCAACAAACTGGTAATGAAAATAGTCTTAAGATGCAGGCTTCAAATAAATGCTGTCATTTTGGAATTCTGGTAGATTAATCGTAACAACTGGACTTGCTTGAGTTCCTTGAAGACGTTCCACCTCTCATCCAAGAGGCTTCATCAGTTCTGACTGACTAGTTGGGAGTTCCAGATACTTATATCCTTGAAGAGCCATTAACACCTGAGCTTCGGTTTCAATTGGGGGTAGTTACTCCTCCCCCTCATTATGTGAGTCGTTAGTGCTCCTCCTGCCACAAAGGGGTTCATTAGGGTCTTTTGTGGTTAGGTGTTCATCTTCCTGAGGAGAGATCTTAGGACTGAGTTGTAAACAGGTGAGAGATGATGCCTCAGACCTGCACCTCTGTTGAGGGACGAACAAAAGACGTGAAACATTTCCCTGGATGTGTAATGAAAACAGAATATTAGAAAGTTCACCTTTTTAAATTAAATTCTAAGATTTTGTACAGAAGTTTTTTTTTGAAGCACCTGAATTAAAATAAACTGTAAATAATGACAACCAACTAAAAATAAAATGTGTCAGAGGGTCAGTTTTATTCCAGATAGTGGTCAGTAAACGGAACAAAGTGTAACAAGTGTTGATGAAATATTAAATACGTTTTCACTGATAACTGTTTGTTTCCTCTAGCGGATGAGTCAGTTCTGGTACAGCGATGAAACAGCGACACAGCTGGCCGAGGAGGTCGTACGAGAAGCTGGAGAAGGAGGCAGGTAAACGTACTAAACTACATCCAGCGTTTAGGCAGCATGTATGTAGAGCTGCAGCTGTAAGAAGGTTTAAGGGGTAGTTTGGTTTCTTTAAAGAGCAGCTGTATGCGGGATTTAACAATAATCAAGTTGCGATGTGCAGCAGATGACAGTCAGTAAAGCCCGTACACCTTTAGCTTCAGCTAGAACTGAAGCAGCCTCATGGATCAGAGGTGAAACGTTTTGAAGAACCTAAAAGTTTCAGTAGTCCAGCTGCTTTTAACTGAAGCTCCAAGAAGTGTTGACTAGATTTAGAATATTTCACTGAGCTGAATTTTCTGGGAAATTTGCCAGTTTTATTGTCCTATTTTTTCTTCAAATCCACCAAACTTTATTGATAAAAACAGTAGTTCTGCTTCGCAAAACACAGGAGTTGCTCATCCTCAGTAGGTGAGTTTGTTTGTGTCACTGTGTGACTTCAACAGTAATGAGTTAGAATGTAGTGATGAGTTAAAGTGACACAGCAGTGGACCAGCAGCTCCCAGGTTCTCCAGCTCAAATGAATGGAATCTGATGGCTCTGAAAAAAGCAATTTAGCTGCTTCAGTTCTTGTTAGAAAAGGCTGTGTGAAGGTAACATGAAGCAGTGAAGTACTCAAATTTTCATGTTCACACAGATATTGATTGATTAATTGCAAACTATTTCAGTAATTGATAAATTGGTTTGAGTATTTTTTTTTTTATAGTAGTGCAGTGATTATTTAAATTCCATTTCACATTGCTGGTGACCCCACGAACAGGTTTGTATCAGCTATAGTACCCAGATGTTTTAACTTTCCCATTAAATACAGTGTCAGTTATTGTTGCTCACGGTGCAACAGTGTTTGCATGTCCTGAGCAGGAACATGAGGTGGCAGAACTGTCCTGAGAGTCAACGATAAGAATAGAATAGAATAGAACTTTATTGATCTCTTTGATGGAAACCTCAGGGAAATTGTTGAAGAGAAGGTTTTCTTTTCGTCTGTAAATTTCGGTGCACTTCAGTCATTTCCTGCTGTAGATGTGGGCTTGTCTCTGTGTTCTCTGTGACAGTTTATTGATAAAATGGCAGCGAGAGGCTTTACACAAGCTGTGTAGTGAAAGCAGCACATCTGCAGCAGCTTGAGGTTCATCCAGGTGCAGCACTGCAGCTAAACTAGAACTGATCACACTTCAGTAACAATGATTTTGCAGCTAGTTTGTGCCAAATTGCAGTCTATGCACGAGACAACTGTTGGAAATGTAAGCAAGTGTCACTGTTTCCTGTCAGGATCGCCTGTGTGAGCGCGCCCAGCGTGTACCAGAAGCTGAAGCAGAACGTGGTGGGCGGTTCAGACCGAGTGTCGGCCGTCGTGTTGGAGTACGACCGCCGCTTCGCCGCCTACGGAGACGACTTCATCTTCTACGACTACAACGAGCCGCTGTCTCTTCCGGCCGGCGTCGCTCCGCAGAGCTTCGACGTCGTCCTCGCCGACCCTCCTTATCTGTCCGAGGAGTGTCTGAGCAAAGTGGCCCAAACCATCAAACACCTGAGCAAAGGGAAAGTGCTGCTGTGCACAGGTGAGACGGGACGGAAGCTTCTGTTGTTCTGAAAGAGAAACACCCTGTTTAGTAACTTTTATTACAAGTCTGCTGCGAGACAAACGCTGATCTGATTCCAAAGCTGCAACTCTGTTTTCTTCTGTTATTTCAAATTCATTGAAAGTAGAGCCTACCCCGGCCTCAACTACACAGTTCACTAATAGAACCATTCAAACTTGAGCTTCACATTATAGCAACGAATTCCTCGCATTTTAACTAATAAATGGTTTACTGTTTAAACAAGAAAGGTTTCTAGTTACAGCATACAGTGTGTATGTTGTAATAACATGAAAACAACCTGTTATAACTAAACAAGGATGGTATAACAACATATGATGCAGAAATCTTGCTTTACCATAAAAACATTTTGCTTTAACTTCTTACTTTGCAACGTGAAACTGACCCATTTTTGTGTATCAGGTGTGGGGGATCAGAAATGAGCATTTTCTGTGTCCATAGTAAAAGAGACTTCAAAGCTCCCAGGCAACTACATCCATACTCTGATAATAAAAGCCTCTTTGTACAGTTTCAATGTGATGATATCATTTATCTCATAATGACGAGAGTTTCAGCTTTAAGAAGAATGTTTTTTTGTTCTCCAGTCCAGAACGTCTACACATAGTAGCTTCAAACTGAGGAAACTTGACGTATATTTTAGTGGAAAAAGCACCAACTTGCCTCCAGTTTTCTGAGCAGTTTTTCTGTTTTTTTGTGTCTTCAGGAGCCATCATGGAAAAACTGGCCAAAGAACTTCTGGATCTGAAAATGTGCAGCTTTTTGCCGAAGCACAACAGAAACTTGTCCAACGAGTTCCGCTGTTTCGTCAACTACCCGTCCCGCCTGCTGTCCTGCTGAAGAACCGCGATTCACTCTTTGTTACGAGTCTGACGGAGCGAGACAACACAGACGGTGTACAGCTGTGGCCTCCAGATGCTGAGGAGTGAAAGGACGCATTAAGACCTGCAGCACACGTTCATAAATGACTTGAGAATTGAGTAATTTTGGGGCTTTTAGGCAAAAATGTCAAATGTTTTATGGTTCCAGCTTCTCAAACGTGGAGACTCTTTGTCACAACACTAAACGGGATATTTTGGGATTTTGTCGTGTTGGTCAGACAAAGTGAGACTTCTGAAAGCATCACCTCAGAATGTGTTAAAATAACACGAGCATATTCCTCTACTGTCTGACATTTCATAGAAATATTGGCAGATTAATTGATTATTAAAATAATTGTCAGCTGCAGCCCGATTTCAGTTCAGACTCACCAACTGCAAGTTAACTGTCTCATGACTCCAAAGTCAGTTTGTTGGTGAACAAATGAGTTCATTTGCAAAACAGACAACTCCATTTTTTGTAGATTCTCAGAAAACTTCCTTTTTTTTGTTGTTTGCTTGAGATAATATCAATCAAACTGAAGTTGAGTGGATTTGACTCAGTAGAAATGACACAAAAAATATAGAGATAACTTAAGTTTGATTGATATTGTCTCAGGTAAACGATGGAACAGTGGGTTTTCTGAAGGTTTGTGAAGATGCAGCTATCTGTTTTTGCAAATGAACTCTTCAAATATTTTGTTACAAAAACAAAGTGATTAGAAAATATTAATGCTGATATAGTATAAGTTAGTAATGTGACAAAATACCAATTACTAATGGTTTGTGTTTCTCCAGTTTAAGGATTTGCATTTGTTTCTAATTTATATCATTTTTAAATAAATGTGTTTGGGTTTTGAATGGTGATCCAACAAAACATCTGTGGCACTATTTTCTGATATTTACTTTACATTCTGTCTGAGTCACTTAAAGGAGAACTCCATCCTTTTTACGCTGGATTGTATTCCTTCTGCAGAAGCTGTTGTTAATTATGCTCCTTTCTAATCTGCTCATAGGATAAACTATATATATATATATGTGTGTGCAGTAAACTGATGTCTACTTTTTCGCTGCATGTGCATCAGATGAAATCGACCCAGTTTGGGTTTTAATGCCTCTGTGAAGTTGCCTCCTTTCTCACTTTACAGGCTGCAGATCACAACAGATTAACTGGCCTTTATACACAAAGATCAGCTTAATCATCATGTACTTCTGAGCCTGTGAGAACATTTATATAACCGTAAAAATAACCTCTGATGAAGTCGAGCTGATGCTAATGTAAACTCTGCTAATTTGGGTACTACAGATTTATGATCTAAACTTGCAGCGTGGACTTTTGAAAGATGTCGGCTTTTTTTTTGGACCAAAGGTGCAACAAAAAGACGCTATGATGCATTATGGGAAATGTACAGTCGTCCTCAAATGTATTCATACCTCCCATTAAAGAAGG